TTAAATACATTCAGTGATTAATCCACGAAGCCATCATTCGTCCAATTAAAGCAATCGTTCGTTATATTCATCGACTTTTTTCTGTTTGAACGACATCGAATTCCCTCCCAATATCGTCTTCGTATTGAATATTTATAATCAACTAAGTTCTCTTAACTATCCCTCTAATTGTCTTGCTGCTAATGAAAAAAAAAAAACGAGCGATGCGATAATGAATCTGTGAAACGTGAATAATTTTCCAATTTAATAAAGTAAAGATCTCGAAAATTTTATAATTATATTCTTCTAAAAATTTTTCTTATTGTAAAAATTAATTTGGATTGGAATCGATAAAATACACAAAAGTCACGTTTCAATTTATTAAGGACTTTAGTGTTGTAAGTGGAAAAGAACGTGTGTGATCAACCAATTATTTGAGCAAACTTCTTTGCCTCTTCGATAACGAATCACGAAAAGCATTTAAAAACTTTTCACGAAGCGAATGCAACAAATTGCCGTTTACTGTAAGTAGAAAAGTACGTGCTTGATCAGACTGGCTCAAACGACGACTATTCATTTCTTCCATTTAATTCTTTTAGGTTTCTTTTCTTCAATGGACAATTACGACAGATTAGAGTATTTAGAAATTACGTGACTTGATTCAAGTCTAATATAAATTATTATAATTACCTTTTGTAATTAACTAATTTTGAATTGAATAAAAAGATAATAAAAATATTTCCACGTTGAAAGTATTAGAGATACTCTTAGAGTTTCATAGTCTGTTACAAGTTACATCTCCAAGAAATTGAACTACCTGTGCTTCAGGTGGAAACCAGTCTCAAAGTGATCCAATTAACGACAAGTTTCACGCTAGCCTAGCCTTCAAGGCTTTTGGTATTCTGGACTTAGCCTGTTCAAATTATGGCTACTTTCCTAACTATTACGCTGTTTCTACTAAGATTGGATAAATTTATATTATTATGTTATTGAATAATAAAATAAATGAAATAAAATTAAATCTAAAGGATTTGATTATGAGCATATCGTTACACTTATTGTTATTTATAATATTATTATCTTAAGAATAATAAATTAATTAAAATATAATTAATAAAGGATTGTTGGTTGTCAACACAGTGCAATAAGTCGATTTTCATGGTTTCAGGAAGAGATGGAAGTTCGTCCTCGAATTTCCACGCTACTCAACAGCCTGTCGGACTACAGCAACACGATTCCAGCTGCGACCGACCCGGATGCGAAACCTCCACCCGTGCAAGGTGGTGCACGAATGGGCACTTTGATCGGTGTCTTCCTACCTTGCATCCAAAACATCTTTGGTGTGATTCTATTCATTCGTTTGACCTGGGTCGTTGGCACCGCTGGCGCTTTTCAGGGTTTCTTCATCGTGTTATGTTGTTGTTGCGTGGTAAGTGAAGTTTCAATATAATGGATATGAATTGATCCAATCAATATTGATTGAATGCGTGTAGAGATTAATGGCGACACGAATTAAGGATTAATCTCATGATTAATCGTGTAATAAATTGAATCATTTATGGCCGAGCTTGATTATTTTAAGCTTTAAAATATATAAAAAAAATAAAATAAATTAAATAAAGATAAAAATTCAGAGAGAACAAATGTTAAAGTTCTTAAATTTTTGAATAATTCTTCACCAAAAAATATTTCTCTATATAGACGATGCTGACAGCTATCAGTATGAGTGCTATCGCGACTAATGGCGTCGTACCAGCTGGAGGGTCTTACTTCATGATATCCAGAAGTTTGGGTCCAGAATTCGGTGGTGCCGTAGGAATGCTCTTTTACACGGGTACTACTCTAGCTGCTGCTATGTATATCATCGGTGCTGTTGAAATTGTCCTGGTAATTATTCTTTCTATTATGCTGAAGTGTCACCAAAATACAAATACGCTACAATGCAATACTAAAGATCTTCATTTTCCCTAGACTTACATGGCGCCATCGCTTAGTATATTTGGAGACTTTACAAAAGACCCTAACATCATGTATAATAACTTTCGCGTATACGGTACTGGATTGCTTATGGTAATGGGCACCATCGTATTCATTGGCGTGAAATTCGTCAACAAGTTTGCAACGGTCGCCCTAGCTTGTGTCATCCTTTCTATCGTGGCTGTTTACGTAGGGTTATTCTATAACTTTAATGGCAACGAATCTCTCAAGTATATAATCGTGCATAATATAAAATAATATAAAATTGTATTTTATATTGAAACAACTTCATGAATGTTTTCTGTTTATCTCCAGGATGTGTGTTCTCGGAAAGAGGTTGTTAAAAGACATCAACGTACTTACCGAATGTAATAAGAATACTAGTGGAATTCTTCATCAACTCTACTGTGGAAACACTAGCACTAGCAAATGTGATCCTTATTATATGGAAAACGATGTGACTATTATAAATGGAATTCGTGGATTGGCCAGTGGTGTATTTTTAGGTACAATTCTTTAAAAATCTTTCGATAATTTGAAGAAATATTAGATGATATTAAATAAATATTAATCCTGTAATGTTTAGACAATATATGGGACAGCTTTCAAGAAGAAGGCCAACTGATTGCCTATGGAAGAGATCCCAAGGATATTGACATGATGTCCAATTCTTCCTTCAATCAAATTCAAGTTGATCTTACCACTACCTTCACCATTCTTATTGGTATTTTCTTCCCTTCAGTCACAGGTAAGTTATGAAAAATTTTACTATTATTCGTTGGAATTTCTTAATTTTGAAAACTAACATGATTGAAATTAAAAAATTAAATAAATATTTATATCATACTGTCCATAGGAATCATGGCTGGCTCCAATAGATCAGGTGACTTAGCAGATGCCCAGAAATCTATTCCTATTGGTACCATTTGTGCCATTTTGACAACCTCAACAGTATATCTCTCCAGTGTTTTACTCTTTGCTGGTACAGTGGACAATCTTCTGCTTCGAGATAAGTTTGGTCAAAGTATTGGTGGCAAATTGGTAGTAGCGAATATGGCTTGGCCCAATCAATGGGTCATCTTGATTGGTTCTTTCCTGTCCACTCTTGGTGCTGGACTTCAGTCTTTAACAGGCGCTCCACGATTACTCCAAGCTATAGCTAAGGACAGTATCATTCCTTTCTTAACTCCATTCGCCACCAGTTCGAGTCGAGGAGAACCTACAAGGGCTCTAGTATTGACAGTAATCATCTGCCAATGTGGCATTCTTCTTGGCAATGTTGACTATCTGGCTCCTTTGTTATCAATGTTCTTTCTCATGTGCTATGGCTTTGTAAACCTGGCTTGTGCTCTGCAAACTCTTCTCAGAACACCTAACTGGCGACCAAGATTTAAATACTATCATTGGAGCCTTTCTTTTCTCGGTCTGTCCCTCTGCATTGCCATCATGTTCATGACAAGCTGGTACTATGCTTTATTAGCCATGGGAATGGCTGGCTGTATTTACAAATACATTGAATACCGTGGTGCTGAAAAAGAATGGGGTGATGGTATTCGTGGTTTGGCTCTATCAGCCGCTCGTTACTCTCTTTTGAGACTGGAGGAAGGACCACCTCATACAAAGAACTGGCGACCACAAATTCTCATTTTGGCTAAGCTGACAGACGATCTGGTACCTAAATATCGCAAATTATTCGCATTTGCTAGTCAATTGAAGGCTGGAAAAGGTTTAACAATCTGTGTCAGCTGCATCGGTGGTGATTACATTCAGAACACTGGCAAAACTTTGGCCGCAAAAGTGAATTTGCGCAAGACGATCGCAGAGGAAAAAGTGAAAGGATTCGTAGATGTCTTAGTAGCTAAGGATGTCGTCGATGGTCTCTGTTCTTTGATTCAAACAACCGGATTAGGCGGCATGAAGCCTAACACTGTGATTCTTGGCTGGCCCTATAGCTGGAAACAATCACAAGAGGAAAGAAATTGGAGAGGATTCTTGCAGACTGTCAGAGCAGTTGCCGCAGCCAGGATGGCTCTTTTGGTACCTAAAGGAATTAACTTCTTCCCTGATTCAACGGAAAAAGTTGTGGGAAATATCGATGTCTGGTGGATTGTGCACGATGGCGGTCTTCTGATGTTATTGCCATTCTTGCTGAAGCAACATCGCACATGGAAGAATTGCAAAATGAGAATCTTCACAGTTGCCCAGATGGAGGATAATTCTATTCAGATGAAGAAGGATTTGAAGAAATTCCTGTATGACCTGAGAATCGAAGCTGAAGTGGAGATTGTGGAAATGGTAAATTATAATATATATATATAATAAGGATTGATAAAAGATTTTCCAAGTCCTTGTTCAAAAAAAACAAACTTAAAAACAAACTATATATTCTGTAAATATTCTAAATAATAAAAATAATTAAATTTAATTACTAATTTCCATAGATGGATTCAGACATATCCGCGTATACTTATGAGCGAACTTTGATGATGGAGCAGAGGAACCAGATGTTGAGAGAGCTGCGACTGAACAAAAAGGAATCCCTAGGAGTGGTAAGTGATAAAATCGCGAAACCAGTCAACAACCATAAAAAAAGAAAAGAAAAGGAAAAGAAAAATATTTTGTATATAATGTAAAATTTGTCTATATATATATATATTTATTTAATACGTAAAATAAGAAACTGCTACGGCTACGATTACTGATCGGTATGTGTCTGTTTGTTGCGTGCTCGTCACGGATAAGGTGCAGTCATTGGTGGACTTCAACGAGGTACCCGCTGAAGAAAATTTACCTCTGGTTTGTCAGAAAATTCCCGGCGTTCCTTCGTCAGTTTATCCCCTCTATCTCTGTGTCTGTTGTGACCAAGACACAAAAAAATGAGTGTCATCCACGAATCCTTATTGTTTCCAAATCTCTGTAACAAAGGAAAACAAAAAAAAACAAAATCGCATTTCGCAAATCGATATCATTCGCATTCACCAACTCACACATAATACGTATACATAATTATATACGACTCGTGTTAACCCACTTCCATATCGAGAAAATGAACTCTTGGAGGTGACGTGGGAATCGTCTCTTCAGGACACTCACGATTCCTCCTCGGTTTAATCGGATCGAGATATAATACTATATCTGCCTTGCATATTTTTTCTCTGTCTCTTTCTTTCTCTTTCTCTCTTTCACTGATTTGCAACTTGTTTTGATTTTGGAACATTGCCGCAGTCGATCCCTCCACCAGTTTGCTTTCTTGCATCTCATCACTACGTTTATATATCCATCTCCGGGCCACTCCCGACCGAAATTTCCAAACGTTTCAGCTTTTGATTGGCACGTTCATAGCCGAGAATGCTTCCATTTAGCGATCGTTCATTTAGTCAGATCATTATAGAATGCTTTGACGCTAGAGTTAGTCGTCTTTTTCGACACACTTTGACTATCTCCTGCTGTTCGGGACACGGTGACTCGTTACAGATTCGTTGATGCTCATGTAATGTGCAACAGGTGCAGGCGATTGTGGACCATCATCACAACGTGGACGTGAAGGTGGCCACCAAGGTGAGATTCCAGGAGCCTGGAAGCCAGAATCCTAACGCGGTTGACGAGGCGCAAGAGAAATTGGTACAGGAGACGGAAGGCAAAGAGGGAGAGGCAGATGTTAATGACGCTGGAGAAGAAGCTAAAGAGGGTAATGAGGAGGAAACGAAATTGATTGGTGGGTCGCCGAAACAGGAGAATAAGGAGAATACGGAGAAGGAAGCGAAAGAGAACGAGGAGAAGAAAACTGATAGTCCAGAGTCTAAGAAACCTACGATAACACCGTGAGTAATTATGATATTAGGATATCATTCTATGGATTAATGACAAAATTATTAAAATTATATTTGATGATTTTTTGTAGGGATGAAGGTAACGTAAGACGTATGCACACTTCCATCAAGTTGAACGAAGTGATCGTGAAGAAGAGCAAAAATGCTCAGTTAGTCATACTCAATCTACCTGGACCACCAAGAGACACCAAATTAGAACGTGAATCAAATTGTATCCTTCCTATGTTATATATTATTGTACAATTTATACATAATATTGTAATTTTTTAAATCTATTATTTATTTGATTTTTCTTTTTTTTTTTTTTTCCTTGACTTTAAACACGCCACAGATATGGAATTTTTAGAAGTTCTCACCGAGGGTCTTGAGAGGGTGCTGATGGTACGTGGAGGCGGACGGGAGGTGATCACCATCTATTCGTGAACTAGACCTGCTGTAAATGAATTAATCGCCTCGCGACAGCGGAAATCTAGTTTACTTTTGAAAGACCTAAACGACTTCACCCTACGAAACACGTTGCTCTTGTGCCATTGTCTGAGCAGTCACTTGCGTTGCGCGTTGTGAACACATATTCATACACATACACACACAGTACAACCGGTTACCGGAAGAAGAGTACCGAATGACGATCAACGACGCTATTTTATCGCGGATAAAATTGGGGTGCCAATGAGTGCCCGGATCGAGAATATTAGTTAAAAGAATAAAGAAGAGGAAAAAAAGCTGACTCTGGACGAGAAGGCCAAAAGTGACATGCCAAAGGATAAAATGATTTTCCTTCGAATGAATTTCACGCGTAAACTAGGATACATAGGATCTATCTTATTTTACTCGTCCCTTTCCTCGATGAGGCTAGAGACTATAAAAAAAAAATATTTAAAAAAGTGGTTTTTATTCGTGTCACACGTGTTACACGTGCGACAGACAGTTAGCACAGAGGACTGCACACAGAGCATACTTCGACCTTGTCATTATATAATCGGATTCTCAAAAAAATAGTGTTTGAAAACTAAAGAAAAGAAACAGAATTATATCGCAGAGATAGAGTTTCGATCTGGGATTAACGAAATCCAAGAAAAAAGAATCGAAAGAGAAATACAAAATGTCGAATCAAACAAAAGATTGATATGTCCTGAGAATAAAAAGAGAAAGAGAGAGAGAGAGAGAGAGAGAGAAAGAAATTCATTAAGATTCCGACGATTGTATTCCAATTTGAAACTGAAATCAAAATTTTTGGTCCGAGGCTAAGATCGAAGCATCTACGAAAACCACTGCCAGAATACTTTCTAAATGCTTCGCGTTTAACCAAAGACGCGAGAGGCTCATTTTTCTACATACATTATCGTTATAGAGAGTATAATAGGTATGTATAATTCTATTGCTTATAGGTGAACTTAGGGTAGCCTAGGATAGCGCGGTGAAGTACGCCGACGAATGAAGACGCATACGTGTACACGGTTGAATCGTGCGCGCTTTTTTTGCGTCTACGTGGCGGAAGTTAGGGCGAACGTTGGCAGCGTTGAACGGTTTTATGCGGACGCAGCATTGAAAATATGTCTGTAAGATAGAGAAAGAGGCGAATTCCTTTTTTTTTTTTTTTTTTGGAGTCCTTAAATTCGTAAAACTAAATATATTAGCGTGCAATTAAAGACGCAACGACAAAATAAATTTCTGAAAAGAAAAAAAAAATTTCTGAAAAGAAAAAAAAAATTTCTGAAAAGAAAAAAAAAATTTCTGAAAAGAAAAAAAAAATTTCTGAAAAGAAAAAAAAAATTTCTGAAAAGAAAAAAAAAATTTTTGAAAAAAAAAAAAAAAGGGGGAGTTCTTTTTTTTTTTTTTTTTTTGGATTCCTTAAATTCGTAAAACTAAATATATTATCGTGCAATTAAAGACGCAAAGAAAAAATAAATTTCTGAAAAGAAAAAAAAAATAGTAGAAAATTATCGACGTATAAAAAAATACGTCACTGCCAAAAGAAAAAAGAAAATATTCTTGAAATTGTTATTTAGGATTGTGTGCAATGATTAACAAGATCGATGCAGAAAGAAAAGGTTTAGACTTTCGATTAAAAACAGAGAATAGTACTAAGGTATTCTTGAAATTACTAATTTATATCACTTAACATCGATACAATATCAGGATTCTAATAGCAATACAAGTTCACGGTTTACTTAAAATTACGAATCCGTAACACTGCATCGCTATGAAACATAGATCTACTTACAATTAAATGATTCTAACGCTAAATGTCCTAAGGAAAGTATATATATTACATATACCGCGAAAATCTTTTTCGAGTTACTAATTCGCATTCTTCGTATCGATATAAAACGAGGAATTAGCAATAGTAGAAAACTAACCATAGAGTTCGAGTTTCTTAATGTATTTACAAAAAAAAAAAAAATGTATCGCGAAAGTCTTGAGACATTAATGTAGATGATCGATGTATAACACCAGAGATTGATAGCATTAGAATTCAAACTGTATGATAAAATGGATCTATTAATGCATCGATATAATTTAAAATGTTAGCAACTAATTGCTACCACAAGTACGCACAGAGCATCAATATGAAAGAAATCTCTCTTTTCATTCATCGTTTTATATATACAAATATATAATATATATAAGTATATATTCCACTATACGAAGTCTAAAAATTCTCAGACGCCTCGACATTGCGTCCCCATAAAGGTTCAAGCCGTAGCGTTTACTTTCAACTAGCGCCGCGAACGACGAACAAAGGAAACACGGCGAGAATCCACGCATCTCCTACAGGACTGAAGTTCGTTCTTTCCATTGTATTTCTCGATTCTCTTGTGAATCGATACCTTCGTCTAGGTTCGCGTTTATACTGTCCAAGGCCTACCGGTTCGATTCACCACTCTGATAAGTTTATAATAAAAGGAGAACGCGCTCGCGTTACTCTCGTCTAACCATAATGGCAATAGCCATTAAAAAAAATAACAGTAATCATTTGCGTAGAGTTACAGAACAAACGGTGAATGCCAAAAAAAAAAAGAAAAACAAGAAAAAAATTACGTCACATTTTTCGCGAGAATCCTTAACTGACTTTCATCGAAGGATAGTGTGTAGCATTGTAATCGGTCGCATTTAAGTGTCGTGTGCATGTCACATTTCATACACGGCCATCTTTGGCCGTGCCTCATTTTTAGATAGGCACTATTTAATACATATATACATATAAATATACTTATATATACATGACGTATAGTTTATCTACAAAATGAAAAAAAGAAAAAGTTGACGAACAAAAATCTTTTTAAGAGAAAAAAAAAAAACAAAGTGGAATATAATCATGTTAGAACGAGTAACTTTTACTATACTCGATTTATTGTGTCTACTTAATCGAAAGCTGCGAACGAATCGTGGTTCTAGATGAAATTTATCGGAACAAAAAAAAGTTGAGCACTCGACGAACCTTCGCTATATGTATTTAGTTGGTCGCTATGTGTATGGAACTTATACGACGATTCTTTTCTTCGTTCGTTATGTTTAACATTATACAAAGTGTTTCAAAAAGATTAGGTTAAGTTTTTTATTCATAAAATTAAATGAAAAGTGATAGTACTTTAAGAATTTTTTATTAGTATGAACAATGTACTTAATTTTATTGATTTAAAAATGCATCCTATCTGTATCATTAATATAATCCATTGTAATCATAAAGTCACCAGTGAAAGTGAGATTATTTTTACAACAGAAAAATAATTTCTTAATTATTTTGACAAATTATTTTATAGAAATTAATTTTTGAAACACTTTGTATGCAAATAAGGATATTAAATCATCAAAAATAAAAATTAACCGAGAAATCAAAATTGTTGCCTATATATAACTTACCAAAGATTCGAAGAAGCAAGATGAATATATTTAATAAATAAAAATAGTCAAATTGTTTGAAAATGTCGCGTGAAAAAGTGGAAGACATTTCTTTATCTACCTCATCGCCATCACGCGTTGAACCAAGTAAATACGAAATGAAAGAAACAGTTGGATTAGCATTGTTTGCAACGATTACGACGAAGAAAAAGAGACAAAATGGTCCAAGGCCGGGACAAGAAAAAAATGTAGGTTCGCGAGATGCTTCTTCTGTCTCTATCTATCGTCCACCATGTTGCGACATGTACTTTCTAATTTTAATGTTACTCACTTGTCGATTACCATATATTTTATGTGTACTTGCCTATTTGATAGGCATCGGCACTGCATAGTTTATACGAGACATGTTGACTATGAGAAAAGTTTATCGGAAAAGTGAAGGGTGTAAGTCAAAGAAGAATAATAAGAGAAGAAGGAAGAGAATTATAGAAGAGAAAAAAAAAAAATATATAAAGAAAGCTGATAAAATGTTAAATGTGTTGTATATAGATAAGTAGAAAGAGAGGAAAAAATATGACAAAAATGATTGGAAAGAATTTAAAAGAGAAGGTTTAAATAAACATTAAAAAAAAAAAGAAAAAAACAATAAAAAAGAAACAAATGAAGAGAAACATCTTTTTCATAGGTCAAACAGTATTGCAGTGTATTCTGCTGCCGCTTTAATATTTTACTATGTCATATTTACTTGAAAAATGCACAATTGACCATATGGACATAAACATACATACACATTACATAGGCGTAAGAGAAAGAGAATATTAATGAAAAGGAAAAATATATATATTATATATATATGAAAAAAATACATAAATATATATATTATATATACAAGCTTGGCATTTGTCGGGGATTTATCGTGTGTCGTTGTAGTGATGCGGCCCGTTATGAACGGATTCCGCATCTGGTTTAAATCACCTCTAGGCTGTGAGATGCGAGCTAAGCAGCAGAGAAACTTGCTCGAGACCTCAATCATATGTGTCAAATCAAGCGTCAAATACTATATACATACGTATACACTTTTAAACCTTAATATCTCGTTAAAAAAAAAAAAAGAAAAAAAAAAATACATCAAGTCTAGCCCTCTTTAAAAAAAAAAACCA